GGCGACCACAGGAGAGTATTTTCTCTAGCATGGAACTCAGCGGGCAGGCGTGGGTGGGTACAGTGGCTGGCTGGCACTGCCCACGCCCACCTTCTCCTGGTGTGCTGAAATGCACGGCATTCTGGGATATTCAGTGCTCTGGGCTCCAACGTTAGGGACCAAGGCACATATGGAGGCTTTGGGATTTTCTTTAGCATCCAAATAAAAAGTTTTCAAAGAAATTACATAAAGTCCTACAGTGCCTTTTTTTCCCAAGAACAGCGTTAAGAATATGGAAAGGCAAGTGACAGACTGTGAGAACATATTCACAGTCAGTGTATCTGACAGAAGACTTTCAGCAAAAATACGTAAGACTTCTATTTAACCAATAATACGAAAGACACATGATCCCAAACGATGGAACAGCCACTTCACAAATGACGACTGGGAGTGGCCAACCCGCACAGGGACAAGGACTCATCACTGGTCATCAAGGAAAGGCAAAGTCACGCCCACTAAGAAAGGCTGAAATTAAAAAGACAGACGAAACCAGAAGCTGGTGACGAGGTCGAACAACTGTAATTTCCAAACAGCGCTGGGACGGCTGCTTTGGAAAAAGACACATTGCTTTGAAAGGTCACCTCTATCTACCCAGGACCCAGAACTCGGCTCCACGGCATTCGCCAAAAAGAAACGAAAACTACATCCACAAAGACTCGCCCAAGCATGCTAAGAGCAGTTTTATTTATTAGCTGGAAAAGCCCTCCCACAGCAAAATGAAAAAACAAATCTGCAAACCACGCTAAAGATCAACACCAGGACACGGAGAGAACTCCTAAACTCTGCAACAATACAAGAAACCACACGACTCGAAAGTAGGCAATGGACTCGAACACTATTGTGAGTCATGCTAATACGAACATGGGAACACATGGGTCCCTTCAAGGCCCTCCTTTCATTCCTTTGGGTATTTACCCAGAAGCAGAATTACTGGATCACATGGAAATTCGATTTTTAATTTTTTGAGGAACCCCCATGCTTTTCCCCGGCCGCCGCACCATGTTAGCTCCTGCCACCAGGCAGGCGCCACGGTGGCGCTGGGACACTGGCTCGCCGCGAGGGACCATGACCCAGGTCATCCTGAAACACTTCCAGGGAACCCTCAACCCGCCTCTATTTCTGAGTTCTAAAAGTGGAAATTCACGCCATCTTCAGGATAAATCAAGGCACGATCCATACATGCCCAATACGGATCGTGAAAATATTCAGCTCTGAGGAGCCCCAGATCCCTAGCGAGCACCCAGATCTCTGTTGCAGGGACTTGTTTTGTCCAGAGAACCAGCCAGTACATAAACAACAGATCAGCTCACCTTCTAGAGGTGGGAGCTATTTTGCTACGTGGCTCCCAAAAGAAGGACTGTTTTGACCCCAGGCAGCCACTCCTGTGGGGGCTTGTACGTCTGACAAAACACAGCAAAGGACCTGGGCCTGATCATCTTTGCAGCTGCTGTCTTTCTATGCGTCCATCTCTTCCGTCTCAGGGAGTCTGCTTTCTCGGCAAACGCTAAGGGAGCCCACACCCCTGCAGCTGCCAGGATTTCAAATGCACCGCCTCTTGGGGCGCCTGGGTGGCTTAGTCGGTTAAGCGTCCGACTTTCGCTTAGGTCATGATCTCGCGGTTCATGGGTTCAAGCCCCGCGTCGGGCTCTGTGCTGACTGCCAGCTCGGAGCCTGGATGGAGCCTATTTCAGAGTCTGTATCTCCCTCTCTCTCTGACCCTCCCCTGCTTACACTCTCTCTCTCTCTCTCCTAGAAATTAAAAAAAAAAAAATGCTTTAAAAAAAAAAAAACAAAATGCGCCGCCTCTTGCGGACATGCTGTCCCCACGCACTCAAATCCCCGGGCAGGAAGCTGTGTGGGTGGGAAGAAGCACCCCTCCGGCCCAGAGACCAAGCACACAGGCTGTAGTCGTGCCGACCAAATACAGGTCGCAAAATTCCACGGCAGACCAGCACCAAGGGGCGTGTCTTCTCAAAACCATGTCTCTAGTTTGCTTTTATTTTATTTTATTTATTTTCTTGGTTCCCCAGTTTTATTCAAGAACTCATACAAACTATTTCAGATTAAGGAGTTTTAATCTTCATCTTCCTCCTCTTCCTCCTCTTGGTTTATCGGGAAGTAACGCCATTCGTAACTCTCTCTGCTGTCAGCACCTATGCACAACCAATCACGCAGATTATTCTTCTTCAGATATTGTTTGGTGAGCTATTTCACCTTTCCTACCTTTAGGAAAAGGCACCTCAGAAGTTACAGTAATCTTGCTCTTGCTCCTTTCGATGGTTACGGCCCCTCCACCGAGATTGCCAGCCTTTCCATTCACTTTGACTCTCTCTTGAAGAAGCTGCTCAAACTCGGCGGCATCCATGATTCCGTGCGGGCCAGGGGAAACTTCAGGACTTGTTTCTTTTTTTTTGGTCCCCCTTCACCACAAGTTTTACGGGCGCCATGGCAGCAGCAGAGGCAGAAAGGGAGGTAGTTGGTTTTTAATGACCGAATAAAACACTCAGGGCCAAAAACGTCCCTCAGACGCAGGTGACGGGGTGTGAACTGGAGACACTGCAGCCCAGATGGTGTCCCCACATCCGGAGAAACCAGGTAAAAATGACCCATCCCACAAAGGGCCACAGGAGACGGAGGCCCTCAGCTCCCGGTCCGAAGCGCGGAGCCTGATACTCCGATGCCTCAGGACTAATGGAACGTGGAGCATGAGGGACACGGCAAGGCCATCCTGACGACAGGTCGTGGCACCAAAGGCGGCATCCGTGAGGGAGGCCCTGGCTGCCCCAGTCGTGCAGGAAGACCGGCTTCAGAAACCATTTTCCAGAGAAAAGTACGGGTAGCTTCTTGGCTCATCTATTTCTGATTCGAGAAAGGACTTGAGGAAAGCGCACAGGCTGCCTGGGCCCCGGGTGATGCCGGAGGAACCTGCGCTGGGTTTTCAGGCGCGCTGGCAGTGCTGCAGCCGTGTGTCTAAGCCCCACGGTTAGGAGACATGTACCGAACCGTTCACAGAGGCGGCGACGGGCCGCCTGGGACCCACAGGTCTGGCCGTGAGGAGGCGACTTCTGGGTCCACCACAGGCTTCTCTCTGCCTTCATATAGGAAATCTTCCACACGAAAGGGCTGAAGGAAGGGAAGAATGTACGCGCCACCGTGTTCACAGGAATGAAAGCAGATCGTGACTGGAATTTGCTTGAAAATAAATCAAAGTGGGCTGTCGGGAGGTACAGACAGCAGAGGGCAGCACACTCAGGTATGACACCGCCGGGCCGCCTGGCTCCCTCCACCATTTGCCGTGTGCCTCAGTTCATGTCTGGAGCGCCCGCCGTGCGGAGCTCTAACATGGGGAGAGAAGGGGGAGACCCGCAGGTGGAGTGTACCCCAGGACGGCCCAGAGAGGGTCCCAGGGGGCGCCCCAGGATGGCCCAGAGAGGGTCCCAGGGGGCGCCCGAGGACAGCCCAGAGAGGGTCCCGGGCTGCGCTGCCCACGGCCTGTCCTCCCAGGCTGAGCCGGATCACATGGGGCCCCGGCCACATCCTACCACCTGACTCTGGTTAAGCATTTCCACGAAGAGTTAACAAAATAAAGTATCAGGTGGGACCCATCGCTCTGCATAGGGGTTTGCAAGCAAATCAAGAGTGACATGTGACACTGTATGTGACACTGTATGTTACATTGTTACGCTGTATGAACTTAATCAGCATCTACACATAAATGGGACACCAAGGGTGCCACATCTCCCCCCACCCACGTCCTCCCAAGGGCAGCTCTGGGGTTCCAGCCCCAGAAGGCCCTCCCTCCCGGCAGAACCCCCCCACGCCCGCGGTACCCCCCACACACAGCCAGGCAGGTTCATACACGGCTGCACCTTAGATACAGTTGCTGGTAATAAATAAAGAAAAGCAGAGCTGGGAACGGACACAGCGTGACCGCGTGTCCAGCTATAACCTGAACCCCTGCTCACCGGATCGGGACTCTCGACTGTACTGGTCTGAGGTAGGGACGGCAGAGGATGGCCCCTTCCCGAGGCTCACCCCAGGGCTGCCCAGTCCTGCTCCTCCATCAGCTGCGCAGCAATGCGGGCAGACCAGCCACCACGGAAGGTGCCGGGCCGTCCTTTCTTTATTCTCGACTTACTTGTTAAATTGACATCTGCTTTTACAGATAGAAAGTGGAACCTTCGGTATGGCAGGATTTGGGTTTTCCAAAGAATCGACCTCGGCAATGTAAATCATGCCCATCTGCTCTATGGTGAACCTTGAATAATGCGGGGTGCGGGCACCGACCCCCCCACGTCAAAACCTGCGTGGAACTTTTGAGTCTCCAAAAACGTAACTGCCAAAAGCCTACAGTTGACCAAAAGCTTTGCCAGTAACAGAAACAATCGACTAACACGTATTTTGTATGCATACGTATTATACGCTGTGTTCTTACAGTAAAGCCGGCTGAAATTAAAAAATGCCATTAAGAAAATCCTAAGAAAAAACTACACTTCAGTACTCGACTGTATTTACCGAAAAACACCTGTTAAAAGAAGACCCTGTGTTGCTCAGGGGTCGACTGTACTTCTTCCGGCCGAACCCTCCAAAGCCCGGTGCTTAGTTATGATCCAGGCACATGTCAAGTTCACTGTAAGACACGTATCACTTGTGCAGATTCAAGCTTCACTGTACTTAATATCGTACGAAAAATGCATTAAAAGAGACTCATTTTCCAACTTTGTATCGATCAGTAATTGTGAATTAATGCTATGAGCGTGCACACTGCTGCGCTATTACCATCGGCCGACGCAACACACTATTACCGCAGACGGGAAATGACAGCCCGTCACTCGGAAGAGGCGTTTTCTACGCTCGTGACCACGTTCTACACTTGTCCCCCACGCTGCTAATATTATGGAAACAACAATAGTGGTGACCTTGCGGATCCTCAGGACGCAGAGCCCAGGGCCGGGGCTCACCTTGCCATCCACTCCGGAAGGGCTGCTGAACACGTACTCCAGCTGGAAGATGACGGCGAACGCAGGGTGACGGACCAGCTCGGGGAGTCGGAGGTGGCTTCTCAAAACCAGAGCCTGGTTTCCAGAGCTGGGTCAAGAACAGAGCAGAAGCACGTCACGCTGCACCCCTGCTGCCCACACCCACCTGGGCGCCGGGCACTGCCTGTGCAGAGAGTGCCCGCCCCCACCCCCAGCAACGCCGCTGAGCTCTTCTGCGTGTCCGGGCCTCAAGGCAGTTCCCAAACCAGAGCCTTTTTAGGTGCCTCCGTCAACACTCTTCCAGAGCCGGCACAGCTTATGTGAGGAGGCTGGAGTGACACGGCCGCGTCTCCAGGGTGCTGCGTCCTCTAGGCCGGCCTCTGCCCGGACTCACACGCGGCGCCCCTCGGAGAGGTCTGGGATTCTGACTTGGGAAGCACGGACTGCCTGCCGCCTCTCCACCGCGGGAGAAACGGTCACAGGCACAGCTGGGGAAGGTGTGCCAGGGCCTCCTCAGACCCTCGGCAGCCACGGCCAGAGCCATCTGTAGCAGCACAAACCCAGACGTTCTCAGGCTAACAACACCGAGGTCTGCTCCCAAGGGGGACAAGGGGCAAGACAAAACAGGGCACCCGGGGAAGAACGCCAGGCGGATGAGCGCATACTTCACGTGCAAAAGCAATTGCATTTTGCTTTGGTCCCGGGTTACGTGCACACTCACACCTCCTGCTTCCACAGGAGTGGCCCTCGCGGCCCTGGGGAGAGTACCTGGCCTTTGAGGAGGAGCCGACCTTCCTGCTGAAGCTGGCAGAGCGCGTCAGGGCCACGTCCATCTCGGGCACCAGCACCACGACCTGGGGCCTCTGCACGAAGCCCAGGCCGTTGTGCACACCCACATGCAGGCGCCGCTCCAGTATCTCCAGCGCGCCGCCGCCGTCCAGCGGAATGCCCTTCTGGAAAAGCACACGTGAGACAGAGTGAGCCTGGGCAGGAGGGCAGAACCTCCCGGGGGAGGGGCAAGCGGAGGGAAGAAGGCCTAACAGGAGCCGCAGGCGTTTCCAGATCACACAGTGCTGAGCAAACACAAGTGCGAGCAAATGACAGGCAAATAACGCCACCAAAGCGCCAGCCTTGGGGCATTTTCTAGGTGGCTTCAGGTTCTTGCCAAGGACAGCCATCTGGGAGCAATACACCCCAACACCCTCCCCACCCCAAGGGTGCCTGAATCATCGAACTCTTGCTCAGGCTTCCACGGCTGAGCTCATCATCAAGGCACCAAGCGAGCAAGCAGGGCCCCAAGCCCCAAGGTGCAGGAGCCCACCGCCCCCCAGGTGCCCCTGGCCTCCCCGAGACGCAGGCTCTGGAGACTCGGGGCACAAGGGGCAGCCAGAACGGGCAGCATATTCACACGGTGAGTCATAAACCAATAAACACAGACTCGGCCCCAAAGTGATCGCTGGATATTAACGTGTTTCATCTGAACAAAAAATGTACAGGCACTTTAACAAATGAGCAAGGATAGGCCTGCAGGCTATTACTATTTATTAAATTGTGTGATCGTTGCAAAATGATCCCTGCATTTTCAGGTTTTCTTCCCTGCCCATTAATCAAGCTGAATGGACCTAAACTCAGGCTATTAGTCTCCGAGTGATGAAAATAAAGCGACGGAGGGAACAGAGGACCTGCCAGTCGGGCAGGAACAAAACCACAAAGCGGTAACACCACAAAATAAAGTGATTTTTATGGGAATGCATAAAACTCCACGATGATACTCCTCAAGCCTCTCTACCCCCGTGCGATCCCGAGCGACAGGAACGCAGCAGGAGCCGCAGCAAGAAAACATGCGCTGCTGTTTCCATCCTGTTCTCTGCCTGTGTTTCATGCGACACATCACAGGGAGGCACCTTCTCAAGAACGGGTAGGGGGCACGACAGTCCATCTCACTCGTGTGCGCTCCACCGGCACAGCGGGCGGGGTGGGCACCCGCGGTGGCACCACCCGCTGTCCCAGGGCCGAACCAACCTTGTCCCCGTCCTCCGGGTGCCCCTCCCCAGAGGGGACGCCGACAGAGGAGCAGACAGGTGAGGACAGCAGGGGCTCTCGGGGCCACGGAGCACCCGGAGAAAGGAGCGGGGGCGGGAGGGGCTGAGGCCTCGGCAGCACCCTCAGGGGCCCGTCAGGACCGCCGGGTGTGCACAGGGACAGGAGCCTGACAGGCGCCGCGTGAGGGCCTGGACGCGGAACGTCCAGGGACGTGAGCTGCGTGTCCAAAGGTCACCATAGGGACGAGCGGTGGCCCGTGACCCCCTGGAGTTCATGGGCACGTGTCACACGGGCGGGCAGAACCAGTCACTGAGAGGAAGCCCCTTTCACAGAACGCGGCTCTGCTGGGACAAAATGACAGATTTCCAGTCTCCTTGGAATGAGCCAAGTGTCTCGAAAATGTCCTTTGTAAATGCAGAATGTTTTCCTGGTTTCCCTGTGCTCGTTTGGAGGTTTCATTTACTTTTAAACAAAGACCGTTTTAAGATATAACAAAACCGCAACGGCACCTTCGTCACACTGAAGTTAGGATGACAGGCTACGTGTCCCTCTTCGGCCACAGAGAGGGAGCCCACAGGCCCGTGTCACCAGGGGCTGGGCTGTCTGCCCTGGTGGCATCAGAGGCCGGCAGCCCCCCTCTCTGCCCTGCCCGCGTCTCGACTGATCAGATGAGGTTCCCTGAGAGAAGACCGTACCTCCCCGAAGTGATCGCTGATGAGGAATTCCAGAAGCTCTTCCTCAAACTTCTCCAGGGAAGGATAGAGCGAGAAGAACAAATCATCCAAGTCCCACGTGACAGACTTCTGAAGGCGAGGCTTTCGGAGGGCGTCCCCTGAAACAAGGGGGGGCTGGTGTAGAGAATCTGTGGGGAGAAGACCACCGGGTACACCCACAGTTCCCCCCACCAGGGCCAGGCCACGGGGCTGGGCCCTCTGGGCGGAGGAGAAACGGTGGGCACAGCACTCACACGGAATCAGAACCCACCTCCGTTCACACAGAGGAACCGAGCTGATCAAACAAGCCCGGATTGCGTTTACACCTCGATTCCGCCCCCCACCCTCCTCCGGGCACACATACTGTAGAGCCCAGATCACAGAACGCAGGCTAACATCTGTTCCTATCAGCTTGCTTTCCTTTATCACTGACTTCCTCTCCAACGAGAACACAGCCAACGATGCCGTTCCTTATTTCTGTACATTTACCTTGGACCATTTGGAAATATGTAGAAATACTCATGAGCACATTAAGGCAACAAGCGAAAACACCGTCTGGGCTGCCACCACCAGCGATGAGCCCCCGTCCCGGTCGGGAAGCAGCCCCAGACTCTGAGCTCCGTGAGGACAGAGGGGACACCGGCTCCTGGCATCCAGCTTGGTGCCCGGCTCAGAGCAGGGGCATATACCCCCAGCCGCGAGGGGCGGGGTCGGAAGTGTGCAGAGCCCTCCCCTCTGGGCCCTGGCGCGAAGACCACAGCAGCAGGATGAAGGCCAAGCCCACCGCTTCCCCGCGAGCCCACGAACCAGGCTCCGCGCCTCCCGCACCCAACCTTCTGGCCCAGCTGCCCTGTCTCTTCCCAAGCTTCCACAAGTAAGTGTTAAGGTGCAGAGTCAGACTTTAAGAGCCAATTCCAAAGTCAGAGAAAGAAAACAACTGAAGTGGGACTGGCGGAGGAGAGTGCAGCGAGATCCCTCCGACATCCTGCGAAGGGTAAATCAGGTAAATGTGACTTCGTTGTCGCCCCCGTGTGTACTAAAACCCTTAAAAACACCCACAGCCGCCCTCTGCCCCAGGGATTCCACGTCTTCACCTTATTCAGCAAAAGTAATCAAACATGGAAGCAAAGTTTTATGTGCGAGAATACTCACGAAACATGATTTATAACAGAAAAAAAAAAAGAAACAACTTAGCGCTCACTGGTGGGGGAATGCTGAGTAAATTACTGGGCGTCCATTTAAAACGCAAATGAACTCATATCGTCAGTTTATTTAATGACTGAAAAGTAATCATAATGTCGTAGGTGAGAATAATACATGCAAACCTGTGCGCTAGATCCTGTAACGCCAGTTCTACTCGAAACTCTTATGCATGTACATGGACACGTGGAAATCTAGGGGCAGTAATCACAGATCACTTCATTTCCTCCTTTAGTTTTTCTACACCTTCCCCACCACAAATATGCATTAGATTTGATGCGTCTGAGAAATTCTGTGCATTCCTTTGTAACTTAAAAAGAAGCATCTAGGGGTGCCTGGGTGGCTCAGTCGGTTAAGCGTCCAACTTTGGCTCAGGGTCATGATCTCACGGTTCATGGGTTCAAGCCCTGCGTCGGGCTCTGTGCTGACAGCTTGGAGTCTGGAGCCTGCTTCTGATTCTGTGTCTCCCTCTCTCTCTGACCCTCCCCTGCTCACACTGTCTGTCTGTCTGTCTCTCTCTCTCTCTCTTTCAGAAAAAAAAAATAAAATATTTAAAAAAAGTTTTTTTTAAAAAGATATCTAACGCCGGTCAGCTGATGAGTCAGAACCCAATAAAAGTGCAGGTATAATTACTCACAATGGCCAGGAGGTAAAAACAACCCCAGTGTCCATCACCAGATGAACGGATAAGAAAAATGTGGTCAATCCATACGTGGAATATTCTTCAGCCTTAAAAGGAAAAGAAATTCCGCCATGCGGATGAACCTTGAAGATGTTATGCTAAATGAAATAAGATGGTCACAAAAAGGGTGGATACTGGGTGATCCCACTCATGCAAAGTGCTTGAAATAGTTAAAGTAAGAGACAGAAAGCAGAAGGGAGGGCGCCAGGGGCCAGGGGCCAGGGATGGAGAGTATAGATGAAAAAGTTCTGGTAGCAGATGGTGGGGGTGGGTACGCAGCAGCATGAATGGACTTCATGCTGCCCAATTGCACATTTTAAACTGTGAAAATGGCAAATTGTATGCCACATCGACTCTACCACAATTCTGCTTTCAAGTGCAACTTTTCATGAAATGGCCCAGCAAGTGTCTGACGCACATCCTGAATGGAGACCTTCCGTCAGGGGAGGAGGAAGCGGACGCCTGCACAGCCTGCTCCCAGGAGGCGAAAGCACAGCCACGGGGCGCCCCCCACACGCTGACGGGCCGACGGGCCACACAGGATTGCTCACGGAGGGTCTCAGGGAAGACGAGGCAGGGAGGCCACGGCCCTCCGGAAGCACAGAGAGGAGGCGCAGGGACCACTCCCTGGCCGCTCGGCCCTGGGCAGGTGGTGCCCGGGTGACCCAGCGGAGCGCCAGCAGCGACGCAGACCAGGAAGCGAGAGCACGGACGCGGGGGGAGTTGAGAAAAAGGAGGAGGGCGTAGCGGCAAGCCTGTTATCTCTGGGGGCTCCGTGGTCCCGTCACGCAGCGGGCAAGTGCACGTTAGTCACTCACCCACACAGAGGGCAAACAGGCCCACTCCTCTCGCAGCCCCGTGGCACCTCCAGGACACGGCCGGCACCCCTGCCCCACCCTCAGCCAAAGGGACGCGCCGCCGTGCACGCTCGCTGCCTCAGAGCACAAACAGCCGCTTTGCGGGTCACCGAGTAATCCGTCTGCTCTTGACCGTGGCTGCACTGTTGGCCAACGCATCTGGCCAGGAACGGGAGTCCAGGTCTCCACGGGCAGTCTCGAGGGTTCCCGGGGGGCGGCAGTGGCCCTCGAGCTCCTGGCGAGCCCCCCCCCCATCTCGAGGGCTTTGATGCAGAAGGACCACCTCACCCTGCCCCCGCCTGCGCTCTGGTCACTGGTCCCAGGCACCCGGCGGTGGGGGGGGGGGGGGGGGGGGGGGGCGAGCAACTGTGCCCAGCGCCCTCTCACCTGACGACCCTGTACAGTGAGGAAGGGCCCCTCCACCCCGCACACCACCACCCGTGGGTCACCTTCCAGGAATGGTGAGTAACGTACCGAACACTCAGTGCCCGCCTCTCCCACATGGTAAGTCCCATTTCCTGCAGAAACACGAAGGGGAAGCCCCACGGCCCGCCCACCACGCCCCCTCCCCCTCCCTCCGGGGAATCCTCCGAGGATTCCAGAAGCACCCGTGACGGTGGAAAGTCAAGCCTGCCAGCCCACTGTCTGCAGGCTGCAACGCAACGGAAGCAAGACCGGACTCGATGCCCTGGTCCCCGCCTGGGGCATCACAGTTAGGAAAGAGCCACGTGCCCAGTGGCCTCTCAGAGCATGAGGGCCAAGCTGCTCGGCAGAAAGGCCCCGGCGACCGGGAGACAGAAGGGCTCGGCGGAGAGGCATACCGGCAGCGACACCAGAGCGCCACGGCCCCAGGTGACACCGTGACGGTGACAACGGGCCCAGGACGGGCCGGCCACCAGCAGCCCGCAGCAGCCTCGGAGCCACGTCCCAGATGCAGCGGGTGGCGGCGGGCGGGGCTCCGGCGGGGCTGCACCTGCGAAGCACAGGGGACGCTCACCAAACCAGGGCCCGTCAGCAGGAAGAGGACAGGCTGGCAGCGGCGCCTCCGTCTCCCTGAGCCGGCACCTCCGCCGCCGGGGAGGGCTGGGTGCGTCTCCAGCACGGTCATTCCCATGGAATGAACTGCACGTCTCCTGAAACCAGGGAGGACCGGGGTGGTTACACACGCTCCGGGCCTGGGGCCCGGGTGCCAATCTGTTTCTAATCCTCGGCCTCCACAGCTGTGAGAGCAAGGTGACCGCGCCCACCCCGTGATGGTGCTCCAGGGAATGAGCTAACGCCATCCGCACTGGGCTCCAGAGAAGAGCCACGAACTCGGAGCCACGGGCTCCCAGGAAAAGGCACACACGTGTGCATGCATATCTCACCAGACTGTAAGCTAAGTCCTCGGCACGGCTCATCCGGGAGAGTCTATTCTCTCCCTCACTAAAGGCAGACGAGGCTCAGACGAGCCAGTGACTTGCCCGAGGCCGCCCGGCTCACAGGCACGGGTGGGGGAACACTCAAACACTCCAGCTGCTGAGCACACATCCACGATCGGCCAGGAGGCACCGTGAGGACCTCAGGGAATGAGTGGATTCGCAAATGCAGAGTCTGGGAGTCACCAGGACGGGACGAGGGGTGCCGGCCGACCCAGCCCTTACAGAGACGGACGGACAGACTCACACTGCGTGCTGCTGCCACAGCCCGTCCCACAGAACCCACTCACCCTCACCAGTCACCCGCATACGTGAACTAAAACAGACTAAAACCGTGGTGGGCCAAGGCCATCTCCCGGATGGATTTCCCGGGGACGAGTCCTCGTGGCACCACGGCTCGAGGGGTGACAGTGCGTCAGCAGGCACAGGTCCCAGGTGTCGGGAAGGTGGCAGAGACCAGCGCTTCTGGAAGAGACCCCAACCAGCAGGAAGCAGGCTCCGCACAGCCTCCCCATGACAAGGGCCAACAGCAGCAGCGAAAAGAGCCACGACATGGTCTCCTACGTGAGGAAGAGCATCCCACACACCGCGGGGGGGAGGGGCAGGAGGGAAGGCTCCTCCACCCGGACACCGGGTGGAGGAGCTACATCTGCACTGGTAGAACCTTCCAGATCCTGAGGGACCCAGGGGATGGGGCTGGTGGCACCGGCCATGTCTTGTGGAAGGCACGGGCTCCAGAGAAGGGCTCTCAGCAGAGCGGGCCTCGGTGGATGCTGTACCACAGATGAGGCCACAGGGCGGCCACGGCAGAGGACAGCATCCCATGGAGAAAGCACAGCAGGTCCTTGGCTGAGCGCTTCCTAAGTCCTCAGCACTGGGCTCCCCTGGCCCCTTCTCTTCCTCCCCAAATGCATCTCCGAGAAGATCCCAAGAATGTCCCCATTTTATGGAGAAAATGCAGC